AATAAGTAATGGGATAATGGTCGGTGTTTAACCACATCTCAGTCATTAACCTATAATAAGTAATGGGATAATGGTCGGTGTTTAACCACATCTCAGTCATTAAATATTAATTTGTAAATTACTTAGTACAACTTAGATATATTTTTGGACTTAAAGTGGATAGAAAAACAAAAACACCACTGCAGATATTTCTTATAAACTAATGAAGCCTTCATTCTCGTAGCTTTAATAAATTACAACATTCAACCAAGAAAAAACGTTATTATTGTGTAGCATTGTTTATCATCATGCACAAACTTAAAAACTGGGCTATCTCTGTTCTGCCCACTACCAATTTTTTGTGTTCAATGCCTGCAGTCTTACCACCAAGTCACCAGAGGGGAAATTATGTAATTAATTCTTTAATATTAATTTTAGGAGCACTTACATAGTCACCATTTGGCTGTGGAATGCAGACATTTATCTCAGAAGACTTGCAACTAATTATCTGGGCTTCGAGGGACTCCTTACTAAGAAACAGCTGGGCACCATCTGTTTTATCAATGGCAATCGTAGGACACTTGCCCATGCACTGAAACATGGAATCAAATTCTTTTAAAGCATGCTAGTCTCTAAACTTAAAAAATAAATAACTATAACATATTTCAAGGCATGAAGTAAACATAACATCAAATTTATCCTTCAGTATCAGTTCATGTGCCAGAACTTTTTTTGACATGGTCTGTCATTACCAGACTTAACACGTCACTTTTAAAAGGTTGTTTACAGTTGGTTGGCAAGACATGTAATATGCCAGAAGTATGATAAAGATATAAATGCATTCATTATTTTACATAATAAAATTTGACTATAAAATCAAATCATAACACTGTTTTGCCTATTGTACTTAACTGCCAAATAAAACAATGTTCTTTTAAAAACTGCCTTCAACACATTTTTCTTGGTGCACAGATGTAACAATTTCTATTATCTGCACTGATTTTCTTATCTTGATCCTTAAACATTCTTTAAAAACTGTTCTATTAATAAAACCATGTGTCTCTTCACGACCATGAGGAATGACTATTAAATATTGCATGAGACTTATTATAGTTACTTAGAAACATACATGCCTTAAGTAAGTTAATGAAAACCTTCCATTAATAATCAAAAGCACACAAGGTTATCTGAATATCTGACATGAAAGAAGTTTCAAACAGTAGCTTGTGACACTTTTTTCTTGTATTACACATCCTTCGGAGTAGACTCGATCCAAATAAGACTTAACCAGCTATTAAAACATTATTTCCACTGATATTTGGCTGAATTGATGAAGACACGTATTAAAAAGTAACACCTTGTAAAAATCTATACGTTATGACTATAACCTGAAACAGTTGTAGACAACACCCGAAGCTACGAGAATAGTCAAGCAGTAGTAGTCAGAACAGCTCATTAACTTCCCGACTGCCTGTCTACACAACTTTAATCCAGAATATAGCACAATATAATCTTTAAAAAAATAACTTGAACTGCCTTGCTAAAATATTGTCAAATGAAAAATATTTAACAGGGCTAACAGTGAAATAATGATTTTTTTCTTTCCAGTGATAAGGAATATACGATGTACTTACTTGGACTTGGACTCTCTCACAATTTACGAATTCCACAGAAGAAACAATATCATCAAACACTACTGACGTTTTCTTGCATGAATCTAAATAGAATATATGAAACAGAACTGTTAAACACTCTGGCATCTTAATCACCTGGTGGTTAAGTCAGGAAAATATGTCAGGTTAAGAAATAAAAACTTAAGAGATGTAATCTTTCCTCAAACACTACTGACTAGGTATAAATTTTAACCCAACCATTAATTAGTTTTAAATTCATTCATTACATTATGAAAGGGTTAAATGACTGAGATGTGGTTAAACACCGACCATTATCCCATTACTTATTATAGGTTAATGACTGAGATGTGGTTAAACACCGACCATTATCCCATTACTTATTATAGGAAATTTAAAGGTAGAATAGGGGGGGTATAAACTACAATGTATATACTTCAGCAGAGACATTAACACAGTACCAAAGTTAAGACTTCTTAGTGGGAAAGATGTATCAAAACATACTAAATTGTGACTCTGTAATAAGTACAACAGTCAATTTCTGCATACACAGATTTATTTCCAATAACATAGACAAAAAAATGTACTATTCTTCCACACGGTATATGCAATTTCATAGAATGTATGAATCAAAACACTTAATAATGACCCCTTGGAAGGTTTACATATACAGAAAATGTCTCTATAGGTTCACAGACATAGTACATACACTGAAGATATTTTTACACTAATCATGAATCTGTTTGTTTTAGTCTGTGGGGTTGTTGCAAGGTATCTTTGTGCAAAGTCTCATTTGGACTGATGGAAATGCAGGCAAGATATGTTTTTGTAATGCTTAACCTTTGATCCCCTAAATTTGGAATGGAGGGCTCTAAAAATGGGAAAGGTGTCAGGATATATTGGGGCCCTCCAAGTTTTCAAGAATATTGGTCCAGAAATAAAAGTGTCACATAATTGTGATTGTCGGAAAGGAGAAGTAAGAAATATAGTTAGGATATACTGGTCCTTTCCTACGGTTGACCCTACACCCTCCAACTGATATGAAAGTGTATTAACATAGTTAGGATATACTGGTCCCTTCCTACGGTTGACCCCACACCCTCCAACTGATATGAAAGTGTATTAATATTTTTTCTGATAATCATACTATATAATTTGAACTGAAAGAAGTATCTCCAATCAGATGACACTCAGGGTGTGAATTTAATGGTAGTCTGGAACACCATCAAGTTGCTGCAAAGACAGCCTGTGATACTATGGACTTTTCTGATAATCAAAAATAGTTCAATAACACTCAATCCCCCATACACAAAGACAGTCTGTGGTACTATGGACTTTTCTGATAATCAAAAATAGTTAATAACACTCAATCCCCCCCCATACACAAAGACAGTCTGTGGTACTATTGACTTTTCTGATAATCAAAAATAATTAATTAACACTCAATCCCCCCCATACACAAAGACAGTCTGTGGTACTATTGACTTTTCTGATAATCTAAACTAATTCATTAACACTCGATCCCCCCCATACACAAAGAGTGTAAGAGTGGGGAAGTATGAATGTGCTGTACCTTCACACTGATAGAACAACAGTTGTGTAAATCAACAACACTCTATTACAGCTGTACACATCACTGGTCTATGGATCATTTATGTCAGTCTGCAGAAACACTCAATGTAAAAGGAAGGGGGAAAAACTGTTAAAGGTTCAATTTTTGTGAGCTATATTTCACACTTGTAAAGAATATGTGAAAAGTATTGTGAAACAAGTGATCCTCGTAATTTTAACTTCTATGGATCATTTATGTCAGTCTGCAGAAACACTCAATGTAAAAGGAAGGGGGAAAAACTGTTAAAGGTTCAATTTCACACTTGTAAAGAATATGTGAAAAGTATTGTGAAACAAGTGATCCTCGTAATTTTAACTTCAAAGCTAAATTAGGCACTAATGCTATAGGCCTACGTAGTCCTAATGGTTTATAAGCTTTTTTACAAATATTTTGATCAGTTTCTTGGTGTAAAAACGATCTGGGGACCATTGGATTATTCTGAGTAACAGAAAGAAACATTTGTTAAAACAAATAATGTTTTTCTACATTCAATTAGTTTTGTTTTGATTTTTTAAAATTGTCCTCAGTGTTGTATAACTAACACACCGGGGAAAATTTTGAAATCAAGAGTAGATCATAAAATTTCGAATTTTCCTTTTAAGGCTTTTCTAACCAGGGAAACTTTGAAAATGAGTTGACAAAAATTGATGTGTAGGAGAGGTTGACAAAAATTGATGTATAGGAAGAATTGACAAAAATTGATGTGTAGGAGAAGTTGACAAAAATTGATGTGTAGGAAGAATTGACAAAAATTGATGTGTAGGAGAAGTTGACAAAAATTGATGTGTAGGAGAAGTTGACAAAAATTGATCCTAGCAATTTCTCACCTTTGTTTTTAATAAGACAATGGTACACACTTTTCTGTAAATATTTTTTTTCAAGAAACTTAAAACCCAATCATCATTAAACATTCTTTTACAGATTAAGAATTATTTAAATTATTCTTGACTAGCTGAAATGACATATTCATAGCTTTTATTATATATAATGGAAGCTGAAAGCAAAAAAAAATTACAGAAAAATATGGAATACATACTCAAAAAATGAGCTTCAGATGCAAAAACTTAACAAGCAAAAAAAGAAAAATATTTGTGTGTAAATGCTGTAAACACAAAGATTTAGTACATACCACATGTTCACCAAACCTATTCATTCAATTCATAAATAATTTTCAAACTATAATTCAGACGTTCACGCTTCTACATAAAACTATATAAGTGGACTCCTGGTGGTTAAAATCACATTTTGGTTACCTTCTACACACAAATACAATTTGGAGATACTTTGTTTTGGAAGTCATGGCAGTAAACTTCCTAAAAAAAAAACAACAACAACCAGAAGTGGTCTCCCAAGGATCAGTAGCCTATGAAATAATATATATATTCATGTAATCGTGGCATCTTACAAAAGACAATTAAAATTCACATCTGAAATAATTCCCCTCTTTAGTAGTTCTGTCATCTGTCAATTAAAACAGGAAGAATGCTGCCACTGATACTCGGATTTTGCATCTGCTTTTGGTAATCTTCACATTTTGTCCACACAAACAGTGTGGATTCCACTTCCTGTCCATACGGTTTTAAACTGTTCTGGAACAGCATACTCCACCTATATAAACAGAAACGAACAAATATTACAGTTTACAAGAAATGCTTCAACATTCCCACTTGTACAACTAGCCCTAACGAAGCAGCAATGGTGAAACATTGGCCGAAATAAAACGTTTTTTAATATTATCATCACGTAAAGAGTACATGTAATTTTTTTAACTTTATTGTCAAAACATAACATTGTTTATCAAAATTTTTTCATGTTTTTTTTTAAACAGAAACAACATTTTTATTTTTTACACGATAGTATCAATGAATATAATAATTTTTACCTGTCTGAATTGTGTGTAGAATAAAAATTTGGTTTAGTTGTTGTTAAGCACAAAGCAACACAACAGGTTATCTGTGCTCTGTCCAGCATGGATGTCGAAACCCAATTTTGAGTATCAAAAGCCCACAGATTTATGGCTGTGCTACTGGAGGGCAATTAAAGATTCAATCAATTCATTACTGTAAATTCAAGTAAGCCACTGTGATTTCATCTAATGTCCAAAACAGATGTAAAAGGTTCTTTGTGACTTGTGTCTACTATAGATGTACAAATAAAATAGTTAATAACTAAAACGTAATTCGGTTGTACTGTAGAAAGCCTATTTGTGTTTAAATGTAAAGCTTGTTTTCTTCAATAACTTGAATCTCCATACTTATTACTGATTTTCTACAAATTATCTTTTATAGATTGCGAACCATGGTGTCTGTCCGAACATTTATGGCAGCTGTTTCCCAGGCAGCGTTTGAAAAGCTAAGCTCACAGGCAAAGTTCAAAACTCACTTTTGAAATGATGGGTGAACAGACATGAATAATGTTGATGCCAAATGTTATTTTACAAGCAGGATATTGAACAATAAATTGTTAGGAATTAATCACAGTATCATTCACATTTCAAAATGTGACGTAACTTAAAGAATAAAAATGTAGATTTACCGCATGTTATTGTTGAGCGGCTCTTAGCATGACTGAAATGTTCAACAGTTACTTTTCGTGTTGGGCGGTTTAAGTAGCTCAGAGATTTGGCTCTGAGTCAAACCAAGAGTGTAACACAATTAACCTCTTTGAAGTCCATGAAATAATTCAAATTTATAGGTTACCTTAAACTTTTCCAGTCACTGGGGACGGGTACTTTTGCTTATAGATTATATGCTTTGAGAACAAAGAAATCTGTTGACTTTGGAATAAAAATTACAATAATCCACACCTTTGTTCAGGTCAACAGATTATAAAATATTGCTGTGATCTTCCTGTAAAAATCCTCAGGGTGTGATACATCAGTAGCCAATTGCAGTTAACTGTTGACTTTGGAATAAAAATTACAATAATCCACACCTTTGTTCAGGTCAACAGATTATAAAATATTGCTGTGATCTTCCTGTAAAAATCCTCAGGGTGTGATACATCAGTAGCCAATTGCAGTTAAATTACAATCTAATTTTATACATCATGAATCAATTGAAGGAAAAGAAAAAAACCTAAGTTATCAGAACGTTACATTTTAGATGATTTTAACAACATCATTAAACTAGATAACATTTGGAATCAGTTGCAATACGTCGTCCCCCATACACCTTACCCTAAAATTACCTCCCTCCTACACATCAATTTTTGTCAACTTCTCCAGTTGACAAAAATTGATGTGTAGGAGGAGTTGACAAAAATTGATGTGTACCAATAATTATTTTACAATTTTGTTTTAGGTCCTTCGTGCAACAGTATGTAGATACATAAAAGGAATAAAACATCAATTTTTTGACTTAATGAAATATAAAGCTTTATTAGTTACTTAAAGATTACCATCAAACTCACAGAAACCAGCCTAAAGGTTTCACTGTGTTCTTTACTCCCAGTCATTACCATAATAGCCTAAGCCTAATAATAATAATTAGACTTAAGTGATCAAATAAGCCACTAACCACAACAATGAATTTATCAGGTTGCCACATTAAAATCAGAGAAATTTATACTGAAAGAAGGTTATGTAGTAACTCCGTCTACACAGTATTATCTAAAACAAACAACAAGTCTACCGATGTTATGAAGACAAACCTTCTTGAGGTTTGTTAACAACTGCGATACTTTCACTCTGGAGACACTGATTTTCTCGTGCAAATTGGACCCAGTGACAAAATGTGGACACATTATACATAACACTACGAAAAACAAATAAATCTATGTTCTAATGGTTATAATAACAGGATCAGGTGAAACTGGTTACTTGAACCGAATGTCCTACTCCAGCACATTTCCTGTGCATCAGTCTCCACCTCGAGGTCTTTCACCATACTGCTCAAACTTTGCTCCAGGTATTTAAATATGTTTGGCCCCATGAAAGATACATTACATGGCAACCTTTCTAAAACAAACAAAAACGTTTAAGCTGGAGAATGTGTCAGTAGCCAACATGAATACAGAACGTAGTTAAATGGTGGTCATAGTGCAGAGAATACTTTGGTTTCCAGTATTTCAAATTTTACCATTGATATTCATAGCAAGAGTAGACTGGGAAAACAAAATATAATAACTACTATTGAAAATGAAAATTGATGTGTAGGAGGAAAACTTATCAGGTTGAGTACTTGGGGTTAGTTTGTGGTGATCAGAACAGTTGTTTCCTTACAAGGTGGGCCAAAACTTATCAGGTTGAGTACTTGGGGTTAGTTTGTGGTGATCAGAACAGTTGTTTCCTTACAAGTTGGGCCTGTTCTGATCACCACAAACTAACCCTAAGTACTCAACCTGATAAGTTTTGTTGTTTCCTTACCAGGTGGGCCTGTTCGGGACATGGATTGTTTCTTAAATTTGATTGTTTTCCTTACAAGGTGGGCCTGTTCGGGACATGGATTGTTTCTTAAATTTGATTGTCTTTCTTGAATATTTTACCAATTTGTGAATGTT